TTTTTTTTTTTTTGGAAAAACAGAGTCTCACTTTATCGCCCTCAGTTGAGTGCTGTGGCGTCACACAGCTCACAGCAACCTCCAACTCCTGGGCTTAGGCAATTCTCCTGCCTCAGTGTCCCAAGTAGCCAGGACCACAGGTGCCCACCACAACGCCCAGCTATTTTAATTGCAGTTTGGCTGGGGCTGGGTTTGAACCTGCCAACCTCGGTATATGGGGCTGGTGCCCTACCCACTGAGCCATAGGCACTGCATCAAGTCTACCATCTTAATAGAGAAAGAGAAGATAGAGAGAATGGAGAAAATAGACAAATAATGTGATAAAAGGTCTTTTTTTGGTTGTAATTGTCATTGTTGTTTGGCGGGCCTGACTGGATTTGAACCCACCAGCTCTAGTGTATGTGCCTGGCACCTTAGCTGCTTGACCTACAGATGCTGAGCCGATAAAATGTCTTATAACCATTTAATCCCTAACCTTATTTGAACCATAGCCAGTTGATTCTAGGTTGTGAGGTAATTTTTGTTTGTAGTTAAGCGAATGTTTGTTCTTAAAGTTTTATCCATTTGATGGATTCACTCTGGTAGTAAAGATTTGAGATAAAGAAGTACTCAAGTGGAAAAGGTAGGAAGGACATAAGGCCCTGGGGATGAATTTATTAGTCATGATGAAACCTTTGTTTTAAATGTGTTGCAACTTAGAGGTGTTGAGGGTTTTTTTAAATTATTCAAAGTTTTTTTCTTTCGTTCCCTGTCTGCCTGCCCCATATTGCTAATACACCACTTTTCAGTAATTTGCTTTATGTTGTTTTACAGTACTTCCTTTTTGGAAATCTCCAAATGATGACAATAAAGAAGAATATCTGTTCTAGCACAGGCACTGTGTTAGTTCCTATATATCCTTCATCTTCATTGGATAGATGAGGAAAATGAGGCTGAAATGATGTTTATAAGATGATATTGCTTGTAAGTGCATAAGCTAATCAGGGCAAACTGGTTCCAGGCTTTTTCTTTTCTATATCATATGACCATGCCCCTTTTGCTATGAAATAATTCTTAAGGAATATGAACATTTATTCTAACTGCAAGGTGTGCTAAGAGTCTTTTTAGGCTAGAATATATGTTTGTCTTTGGACTTCGTGTTAGTAATAAGCACTTAAATTTTCAAACTCTTCAGATGTTCTGGGCAGATTCCCAAAATAATATTAAAGGGAAGAAGCCATTATGAGGAGAGCTCAGCTTCAGCCTAAGCTGGAAAAATGTTATAAAAGGATGACTTAGTGATTGCTAGAAATTAAAAACAAAATAGTTTTCTATTAATATAGATAATGTCCTAGTGAGTTAGTAATTTATCTTATGGCATTTATAAATGCCATAGAAAGATACAAAAGATATAAAAGAACAGATTTACAGCGCATTAGATTTAAGTTTCCAGACTACTTGTTTTGTAGCACTTCATAAGATATGGTTTAACTTCCTTTCTAAGACTGTCCTCTCAATTCAAGGAAGCTCTGGTTTACAGTATTTTGGTCTTGGTCCGAATTTCAAAATATTTTGTGTTAGAGAAATAACTTTTTTTCCTTGAGCGTTTTCATTTCCCCCTTCTCTTAGTCACACTCAGCTGGGTGCTAGTATATCATGTAAAATGTTAGAGACTTTTGGAAGTT